CTGGCGTAGGAAAAACAAAAATAATTTATGGGAAGCATTTTTGGATGCGTTACGTACAACTGCATATCCATCTAATTGATTTTATTCTAGAATTTTTTTGTACGATGTGATTAATTTTAAGTGATATTTAATAAATACATACCCGATTTTCCCATTATTCTATATATCATCCATTTTTCTTTTTTGAATCTAAAAATTTTCAACACAAAAATTTTCATGTTAGTGTTAGTATTTAGGGCTAGAGTTAAGAAGGCTTGGAAAGGATTTTTAGGGGCATAGAAAATTTTACTTAGAATGTTTTGCACTGATTAATTAGCCAGTTTTTGAGATAATATATATAGGTGTAAAACACTATAGGGGCGTTTTAGTAAAATTCATAATTTAATATAATTTTAATAAAGAAATAAAAATAATACGTAGAAAAATAAATAAAATTCTTAATAAAATAACAGTGTGTCAACGTTAAAAATATTCTATTTTTATTACTAGCATCTAATAAAATAGTTTCTTTTAGTAATAAGTAAAAAAATTAGTAGATAAAACTATTTACTGTATATAAGCTAATTAATTTAAACAGCGCAAGTTATACTTGTTTAAAAAAATTGACATTAAAGATAACCTGTTAAAAGCTAAACGACAGCAAGTATAGCTAAAGACTAGTTGCGGTAAATCAAATTTAAAAATTACCAAAGTAGATAAATTATTAGATTAAAAAAAAAAATAAGTTTTAAAGTTTGTTGACAAAAACGTAAAAATTGTACGTAAACATCTTTAAAGTGATGGCGTATTGCTTTAAAAAAAATTGCACCAAGATAAGATAAAAAAACAAAACAAAATAAATACATAAATAATTTTAATTAATAAAAACATAAATATATACATAAATAATTTTAATTAATAAAAAAAACATAAATTTATTCTTTTTATTTTAAATAATTAGTATATATATACTACAGTATATACAGTGTATAGTATAAAATATAAAGTTCTTTGTTATTGATTTATAAGTAAATTCTTCAATGCAATTGAATATAGTAATTGCAAATATATTTGTTAAATCCAGATTAAACAAGATTAACTTCAAATAAATCTATATAACATAAGTCATTATACAATATCGGGATCATAGACCAAAAATTTCGGATACGCATATTTTAGAGAAGGGTTATGCATTTGTGAGAGGGCAATTTTTTTTTTTACGTTTTTAAAAAGGTTAGGACTGGATGAAGCATGCATTTAGAGAAGGTACATGGTGCATTTAAGGAGGATACGAACATATAATATACAGTATATATGATATATAGTTACATATAATTTCTGTATATCGATATATTAAAAAAAGACTCGAAATATCGATCATTCAAAGATACAGTACGTAATATCGGGCCTTTTGTAACACTACTATCGAATTAATTCCGATTGGGATTAGAGTACTATATATCGACAGTTTTTTTTTAAAATCCCTTTATAAGAATTTTAATTAATCCAAAAATATTTAATTACACTACCTCCTTATTATTAATTTTTTCGTAAACAATCTTAAATAAGAATTTTATAATATATAGATTCTCAAAAAAAAATTTTCTCATACGTATTAGAGTTTGTTAGTGATGTTTGCGAGGATCTTGCTATGATAACCACTATGACTGATAAATGAATTAAGTTTAGACGCCCATCACCTTAAAATGTACTACAAACATTCCTATCGCTAGTAGTAATTAATTAGGACAGGAGAATTTTTTTTCTTCTTTTTCCTTTTCTTTTTTTTTTTTTTTTTTGGATAGAAAAAAAATTTTTTTTTTTTTGATGAGATGAACTTATTAATTTGGTCTTATTAAATACAAGTTTGGAATTGTGACGTATAAAACCGTTGGCATAGAACACACGCGAGCAATGTGATTGTACTTCTGTCGCAATCTTTATTTAATTCACCCTATAGGTAATGATCACCACGATAACATCTATCGATCTTTTATTTTGTACACTTTCAATCCGAATAAAATGATTATTTCGGAATGTGAAAAAAAAAAAGGTTTTATTGTGCGCGATATACTATAGAAAGAAATAATTGAAAATACATACGTACATGAAAAAAAAACACATACTGATAAAGGAATTTTTATAAATAAATAAATAAATAATGTAAATAAACAAATCACACTACTTTCCATTTTAAAACTATTTACGTGTGCGTTATGGATTTGTTTACAACCTAGGAAAAAGTTCACTATGAACTTTACAAAATTCCAAAGATCTTGATTGAGATCAAAAAAAAAAAAAAATACTACCGTAGATTGAAGTCATAAAAAAAAAAAAAAGATTGAAAAAAAAAGATTGAAAAAATCACAACTGACAAAAACTACAAGCAAAAAGGTTGAAAAAATTGACAATTACAAAAATCATTCGAAAACTTAATATTATTTGTAAATCGAATATTCACAAGTGAAAAAATATTATCCGCTATACTAATACAATAATACGTACAATATATATATATATATAATTAATTACATTGATTAATTGGTTTTCTAAATTCAGAAATAGAGTTTTGTTAATATAATATAATGTTTTGATATTTCATATCATCCACTGTCGTAGAAGTCAGAATGATAAGCGATTTCCAGAAATCATTCTTGGTAGACAAGATTATTACTCGACATCTTTGACTAATAGTTACATAAACCTTTAAATAAAATAGGGAAATAAATTTACAAAGATTAAAGAATACAAAATAAAAAAGGAAAAAATGAAAAATGAAGTGTATTTAGCATTAATGAATATATACTAGGGGGTTTGAGTTTTTTTATGATTTTTTTTTTTTCACAATTAATATCAATAATAATACATATAAGCTTATGGCTGCCATTTAAGTAGTAGTAGTGGTAATTATATCAGATATAGGCGTAGTAGAGCCAATCTTTTGAGCGACAAATCTCCAAGTCTTGAAATATGTTCTGTTTTGTTCGACTTCTTTGGAAAATGTGGCGACCAATTCGTCATATTCTTGAGATTTCATTTTCATTGCTTTAGATAATGGAGCCTTGATTGCAGTCCATCCGTTGGCAATATCTTCTACAGCCTGTAAAATGCATATATATAAAATTAACGCTGAACGAAAAGACAAGACGAGGCAGTCACATGACAACCAACATGTGAACAGTATGTGAACACAGTACAAAGCTTACCATTCTACCGAGGTCACCCGCCCACTTTCCAACGAAACAAGTTTTTTCTTCGGTTTGGATACCTTTCTGTATTTTTTCATTATCTTCTATTGATTGAGGGATATATGTATTCAATGGTTCCAATATTCCTTTAGATTTCATGAACGACGTTACTGCGCCATAAAAATTGATATACAAAAATTAGCAAATTGCATAATCGGGCCGAATAACAATAAATAATAATATAATGATAATAATAATAATAATAATAATAATAATAATAGAAAATAATAATAATAATAATAAAATAATAATAATAATAATAAAAGTAAAATAATAATAATAATAATAATAATAATAATAGTAAAGATACATACGTGCATTCGTTAATCTTGCAGTTGTAGGACCTTCATTAAGATATTGTATGTCGCTTTCCATGAATTCTATCCAACCACCTTGCTTAGTAATCCTTATAATTTCGGGAAAGACTTTTTCTTTCAATTCAGTAGCGGTGAACGCAGTTACTAATAATCCCATGTGAACAAAGTCAAAAGAATCGTCTAAAAATGGAAGACCGTCAAGTATATTTGCTTTAAGAAACTTGACATTTGCTAGCTCCATCTCTTGAGAAAATAATGGGACAAAATCTACGCCAGTAAAAGTGGATTGTTCATACATTTCAGCCATTTCGATTGTCCAAGTACCAGGACCACAACTATAAACATATATATATATATATGTATACGTGTTAAAAAATCAATTTTTTTAAGGAAAACGTTAAATGAAGAAATAAATAAATGATCATCATACCCAATATCAAGAACTTTAACACCAGCTCTCAATTTCTCTTCAATGGGAGCTGAATAATTACTTTGCCAAATACGTTTAAAGAACCAATGTTGTTTTTGTAATCTTTCAATTTCATTATCAGAGACACCTTTATTGAATAATTTGGAATTTTTTGCATAATGGATTCGTTTACCACTACCGGTAAAACGCCAAGTTTCATTAATACTTTCATCAATGATTAAAACTTGTTCGTTGGAATTGGTGCGCAAAGAACGAAACTTTTTTCGTTTTTCAACTTTGACTGTTGCTTTGGCTTTTAATTTATTGTTGTTAGATATTGTGGTTTTTGATAGTTTGTGACCCATTTTTTCGCTTGTAGTTTTTTCGTAGTAAGATGATTTATGTATTTAATATGCTAGTATACTAGTGTATTTAATATTTAATATATATACCAGACGATGATTTTTGTGTACTAAAAAATTTATGACAACAAACCAAATTGAAAAGAAAGGTGCGACGAGCCCAGTTGGAAGGGGTATTTAAAGAAATTCAAGGTAGTGAAAAAATGATTTTTAAAATGGAAGGAGAAACAATAAATAAATAGAAAAAATATATATGATTGAAAAAAATCCGGCAAGGGATATCAATAAAAATATATTATATTATTATAAAAAAAAATCGGAATATTTTTATTGTTAATAATGATCATTACCTTTTTAAATTGTAATAATTATAATTGTTCGTCGAGGAAAAAAAAAGAAGTAAATATTTAGTCAAAACTTTGAGGCGCATACATACAGTAAATCACCAAGTTTTATAATATTTGTATAATATTTTTATAATATTTTATAATTTTATAATATTTTATAATATTTTGTAATATTGTGTAAACAGTAAAGCCCTTATTTGAAATTGCGTTGGGGGAAGGTATTTATACTTTTTGGGCGTACGTACCTATCGATTATAAAAAAAATTGTGTAAATAAATTACTAAGGGCGCGTCCCAAGAGTATTCATCTGTGTTATTCATCTGTTGTATATTTATATTTTATTTATTTATTGTTTATGCCTTTATGAAGATACTGTATAACAATACCGCAATAGTACGACCATGAAGAAATCACACGTGCACTACAAAAAAATACACGTAAAAATTAAAATAAAATAAGAAATAATGAATAGATTGCACATCCCGTGACCGTGTTACTATAAAACCAGATAAGAGACTGGGATTTTTAGAAATGGAACAGGTTACGTTATTTTGGAAAATTCTAAAAGCAATAATTGAAAATTTATGAGACCGTTTTAGATTTTTTTTTTTTTTTTTTTTTTCTTATAACACTATTAAAGCGAACCTTCAAGTAAAAAGATCTCACGGGTGGCGCCGAGAATGCGGCTTTAATGATTTATGTATCGAGTTCTCGAACATGAAACATCTATAAACTACGATTACCATATTCAAGATATCATACTTGTACGTATAATAAACATTAGAGGCATTTTTGCTAATAAAATATTAGATGCAATGAGTTTATTTCAGTTTATTTTAGAAGTTAAATGCGTATGCCAATGATAAAACACAGCATTCACGTATTACCGAGATTGCAATGCTTGAACTCTAACCCTACGTGTTCTATTTCCTATTTGTCCTATTTGTCCTATTTGTCCTATCTGTCCTATTTGTAAATTTATATATGCATTTTAAGACCAACCAAAAACAAATGATCACCTTCGCATTTTGGGTTCATACTAACAAGTTTTATACTACCCTACTACCCTGCTACAGTATTTATAACATTCAACTTTTTTGAATGTTCGGAGATACGCGAATAAAGTATCAATATATGCACTCTTTTACTTGTCGGATTTATACAGTATATTAAAATAATTTTATTGATAAATTTTATTGATAAATTTATTGATAAATTTATTGATGTTATTGAAACACCAGAGGTTTGCCTGCATTTATGTTGACCCGAATTACATAACAAATAGTAACACGAATCCGAGTTTGTTTCATCACATAAATGGTTACATACGCAAACATATCATTATTTGAAAAAAAAATTCATGGCTTTTGTAATCTTTGTACCAGTAAAATCTCCCGGCATAAAATTATCACTTGAACACAAATAACTCAATTAAAGAATTACCCAACCGCTAATTTAAAATAAGCGCGTATTCATTTTCAATTTTTAATTCAATGATACTAATTTGAATCGGCCGACATCTTAACCGATGATCATCTTTAATCACAAACGTGGATGTTTTTAAATTGATAATGCATAATCATGATAGAACATTTCTAATATAGTGGTATTCAGTCATACAAACAATATTTCTCAAAATATTTCGCATGATCTTATGAGGCATATCTTTTATCTCGTCTGTTTTTTTTTTTTTTTCCCCAACTTAACTTGGCGTTTATTCATTCATGTCACGTATTATTCAAAAGATAATTTTCAAAATGATTTATTTTTTAAATTTCTTTCATATAAATCTATAAATAACCTTTTGAATAAAAGTGATTGTCACTTATATTCCATGTAAAGATGTGTTTATTCATTGGATATGCATTTATATACATTTATATGCATTTGTACGATGCATGTATATTTAATGAAATCATTGAAAGCCCACGCGTGTTAACATGTTGGTGAAATATAAATATTAAGAAAGCACGCATTTTGTGTCCCGTTTAACTATGATTTTGCTACATAAAGATAAAGTCTGTGATCCCATTTGTGTTCCCATTTCTTAGTTTATGTTTCTCTATTTTTGGCAATCTCTTTTTCAACCCTACAGAATTCAATTTAAGTAACTACTCGTGGGACAAATAACGATAATGATTATTAAAAATTGAGTTATGGCTTATTCCTGTAAGGGTTTATTAATTCTTTATCCTTTCTACCCTTTTAAGAATTTCCCTCTATGTAATCAATGATACTAGTGTTGTGTTATACAGGCCATGATTATTTGTTGACTCTTCCGAACATAGTAAACTGCGTGACCGCATACTATTTTATAAACATTTCACTTTCGAAGTAATGCATTTCCTTTATATATATAAATTTTATCGGATACTTTTAAGATTTACATGCTGTTTGATTTTAAAGGTCTCCTTGGCGTTCTCAAGTTTGTTTTGCTGTTTCGTATTTTCGGTTTCCTGCTAATGATAATCAAAATTTGAGGCTTTTTTTTTTTCTCGGCTCAGAAATTCCGGTTTTTTTCATGTTAACTATGTTTATCATCTTTCTTAATCAAGTTAATATAGGTTTTTTTTAAACTAGGATAACAGGTCTCCTAGTTGTTAGAACGCGATTTTTTTTTTTTTTGCCAATCAATGCATAAATAATAATGCCTGTTTCTATGCATTTAAACGCCTTGCTTCTATCGATAAAGATTTTTAAAATGTTCATTACTATCAATTATACTATCAATTTGAAATTCTCCTTCTGGATCAGTCAATGTAAATCAAGTTTTATCTTGTTAATTACAAATTTCTGTTTTCATTGGTAATACCTATTACAAAAACAATCAGCTAATCACCATCGTAAATAGAAAAATTCTTCCCACTCCGTAAGCTATATCACACTCCTAGTTTAAAGATTTTCGTTTTTTTTTTTCATTATTATTATCATTTAACTAAATAGTTAAAAGCCACAATTTGTTATAATAGTTAGAAATATGTAAACTGGCGTAACGAAAAAAAAAAAAAAAATACGTAATGCATAACTTTAATTCTTGCATAGTAGATAACACTAAATTCCTTAAAGGAATTTCATTTCTGGAATTTAACTCCTTTCCAAAATTTTTGGTTCATTTGTTTTTCTCACTTTTAGTAATGATTTTACTAACAATTTTAGTAATGATAAACTTGCGCAGTTTTTTTTATCTCTTAAAATAGTTCGATTATTCGACTTTTTTGTTATTATTAGTAAACTTGTATATCGTTATACTTTATGATTTTAGAAATATATATGTATCGCCAAATAATTTTCGGAATATCTTGTCTATAAATATTTTCTACTTTGGATTTTTTTTTGCGATACACTTATTTAAATTTTTTTACTAGTGTTTTTATTTACTAGAATAAATATTTAACAAATATTATAAATTTTCAATTATGTAATAAAACTATTAAATAATACTAAATGTAATATGCGTACGTACAATTATTATATATTTAAAATCTAAATCAAAAATGTTTTTTTTATTTGTACGCTGATTTCTTACCATTCACGTGATCCGTTTTTAATCCTCGTGTTTCAGAAATAGCCTAACTATTTTCTTTATTCAAGGTAATTATTTCACACAGACTCAATTCGAAAATCACTTTTCAGCCGATGAAATTCTGTGATTTTTTTTTTCAATGACGTCCACCCCCTCTGATTTCTCTAATTTAAGGATAGGATGTACAGTAATTAATTTTTAATAACGATAATAATCATATGACAAATTCATAATATATATTTTTGGAGTTAAATATACATTTGCATAGTTGCATTTTGATTGGCTAATTTCGTAATATTAATTTTTAAAAATATTTTTTATTTTAGTGATAATTTAAAATTAATTTAAACGAACGTATATACGTATTTAACTGTATATTGAAAATTTTATGTATACTGCAGTTTACGTATATATGTTGACACAATATATATATCTGCATATAATCTTATACGTATTACTAATTTTCTTATAAAAGTATACTGTATATATATACAGTATTAATTTTACTGATAAGCTATATATATAATAGATTAATACATAACAAAGTTTATACTCTAAAATTATACAAATTTAAAATATAAATTTCAAAAAACTTATGCAGCAATTAATTATTAATACAGTATAATAAATATTTTTAACTAAATTTATTAATTAATTTAATAATCAAATTATAAAAAACCAAAACTTTTAATAATTAATTTAAAATATAATTTATTTCTATTTCAAAAGATTATAACTATATCTAAAAAGACTATATTATTAAAAGATAGCTAGATAGCATATTTTTGTAGAACAGATGAGCACTTTCATCAAAGTACTAAGCTACCAAATAGTAATTATGAATATATTTAATCTTACAACACATATAGTTAGAAATTCTGTTTTTTCATACATATATATATTTTTTTGCTTGACTAAGTATATATACTTGTATAAATAGCTCTAGCAACTGTCTTATTAATACAAAAACTATCTAGTATAAAAAAAAAAATTTAATAAAAATTTTCAGATAAAAAATAAAAAAAAGATTTTATACATATATTTATTTAAGTATAAAGAATATTTCAAGTTAGCTTTTGTTATATGGCTTGCTATATTTGATATTAGTTGTAAATATCTAACAATAGTATATTTGTTTTCAAGAAGCAATTAGTAGATTAGCTATAAATATTTGTATCTATATTTACTATTTTAATATTTTATTAATAATTTAGTGATCTTTACTTAAGATCTAATTCTCAATTTTTTTACTATAATAAATAAATATAGCAATAGTTTTTTTTTTTTTTTGGTGTTAAGGTGATCTACATTGGCCTGGGGACTTTTTATTAGAGTATAGATGGAGTTTTATAATGTAATTACAACGATGGTACATCAAGCCACACGTGCACCTTTTAAGTACCTAATTTAAGTAGTCTGCCCGAAGGTTCTATACTATCTGCCGTACCTGTACCCCAACTAGGGGGGTACCTATTTAAACCATCTGGTTCTAACTACCTCTATCAGCCCTCTAACCCTGGGTGTACCTCACCATTTATGTATGGATTTCGGATATTACCCATTGTGGATTTCACACCCTACCTTAGGACTTACTAACCACATAGATTTTGTCAATCCCTATCATTAAGACTTACTAACTATATATGGCTAATCTATCCAAGTATAGCAATAGTTTGTTATAATTGGTTGTTAAAATACTTTAAAAAAAAAAATTTAATTATACTCCCAGACAAAAATTTTATAACTCGCAAACTTTTAAAAATTAGTTAATACATTTTGAAAATATATTATAAATTTACAATATACTAATTTAGTTTTGTATTAACTGCTTTAATTTAAATTTTACAAGAGTTTTGTTATTTTTTTGCAATAAATATATATAAATATCTACTAAATAACATATTTCTAATACTATAATACTATTACTATTATTTATTGTATTATAAATATTATATTTACAAACTATATTTGTATCTATAAATTATATTAAAAATATTAAAATACAGTTTAGAATAATAGTTCAACATAATAATTTACTTATAAAAACAAACATATTAGTTGAATTAGAATTTTATAATTTCAACTTACTAATTGTTTAAACTGCCAAACTACCTTTTGTCCTTTTAAAATATTCACTTTTCATTTATTTTTGAACTATTGCATCTTATTGTATCTCAGATTAAAAAACAAAAAGACTATTAATAACTCAAGTTGGTTGTTATATTTTGTATTATAAAAAAAAAGTTTTATATAACATAATGATTTTTACTATTAAAAGTACTTTAAGTATAGAGGGTATATTAATATAAAATCAATATTAAAATTTTTTTATATAATATATAATTATATATGTGAAGATTAATATATCTAAAATCTTTTACAAATATATTATATTGATACTATATGTGCAATAGCCTTTTGTTAATGATATAGCAAAGTAACAAGATTACTTACTATAGAGAAACCTATATTAGGAATATACAGAGAGTAGAGTAAAGTATTTAATATACTTTATAGCAGCAAGCAAATGGTTTGGAATAGTAATAGTATATTGTATAACTTTATTAAACATAGATGTCACAGTGATAATCTTGCTTGTAGGATTTATACTAGAGAAAAAATATTATACTATACAAATATAAGAAGAGTAAAATAATATAAAACTAGATTCTATAAGAGTATAGAAAACTCTAATTTGAATAAAAAGAGCAAATGCTCTCTTTTTATAATTTTTCTATATATAAGAGATGTAATGGATAAACTGTATAAGAGGCACTTAGAGGCATTTGTGTAAAGATAACTAGAAGTATATATAAAGGCACTTGAAGACACTTGTACAGAGGCACTTAAAAGCACTTGTGTAGAGGTATTTGAAAATACTCATGCAGAGGCACTTGGAGGCACTTGTGTGTTGGGCCTCATACTACTTAGGTATAGTATTACTATGCCATATATAACTAGCCAATAATATCTCCATAACTAGTAAATATTAATATTATACTAGTAGATATTAGTATCTATCCTATATATGATCATCAATAAGCTAATTAGTAAATAAACTATACCTATATAAACTTACTTTTATTTTATTATTTACAACTTTTAGCTTACAATTTTTTTTTTTTTTAGATAGTTTTTTAGACAATATTTTTTTTTACTTAACGTGGTTTATCTTTTTTTTAAGTTTTTTTTTTTTTTGCTTTATGTGTTTTTTTGCTTAACATGTTTTTTTTGTTAGGCTTTTTTTTTTAATACAGCTTATTTCTTCTTTATGTAGCTCTTTCTCATCTTTATATATGCAGCTTTTTTCATTATATGGCTCTTTTCGTCATACAACTCTTTGTTATATAGCTCTTTTTTGCATATAGTTTAAGTGAGTATTTTTTCTTCGCATATTTCTTTTCCTTTCTTCCCACTTAGTAGTTAATTTCTTATTCTTACTCTATATAATTATCTTTTTCATTTTACCATGTTATATTACCTTATGAGTTTTTTTTTATTTTCATTTCTTTGATTTTATCTTCTTTTTTTTTTACCTGTTATTTTATTACCTCACAAGTTTTTTTTTTTATCTTTACTTTTTTGATTCTACCTTTTTTCATTTTACTGTATTATTTTCTATTATCTCAAGTTTTTTTTACCTTTGTTAAATTACTTTTTTGTTATACTCTACTTTAACAATTTTGTTTTTTACTAGTTCTTTTTCACTTCAATTTTTTTTTTTAAATTACTTTTTTTCTACTGATTTGTTTTTTTACAAGTCTTTTTTTGCTTCTTCAATTATTTTTTTTTAACTTACTTTTTTTCATTCTCTACTTTAAATCAACAATTTTTTTTTTTTTAGTTCTTAAAATGACCAAAGCTCAAAGTTCAAATTATTTCTCTAGTGACTATTATGCAAATTATAGCTTTCATTCAGAAAATAATTTTTCTAATAACTATCATGCGGATTATACCATTCATATAGAAGATGATTTTGAATTAGAATTGCTTTTTGAAAATTTAAAAATAAATACATTACCAGTATTTGAAAGCATTGATAACAGTATACATTATTGCTTTGATAACTATTATATAGATTATACTCTTCATTCAGAAGATGATTTTGGTTTAATATCACCTTCTGACCCTTTAATGGCAGTTGTATTACTATTAGTTGAAAATGTTGATGATAGTATATTCGAAAGTGATTTTGATAATGAACCTGAAAACAGTCCCTTAAAAGAAATCTATAGTGGACAAACTTTTATTTCCTTTGATTTACTTAAAAAATGCTTAAAAAGTTATTTTATGTAGATAGATTTTGAAACAAAAATAGTGAGAGTAGAAAAAGAAAATAATATTATGGCTCATAAAATGTACAAATATCATCATAAAGGTAAATACTTGCTGAAAAAAAAAAATTGGATTTTATACAAAATAAAAAACAAGAATCAAGTTGTATAGAGTGCAGTTTTATATTAAATGTAGCATATTGTAAGAGTACAAATCTTGTTCATATTAACAAATTAAATGAAAGTCATAATTATAAGTTGAATGATAGTAAATTAGTTCAGCAGTTTTTGTGATTATTATGTAAAATACCTACCAATATTAAAGAGGAAATTCGCTTTTATGTTCAAGAGTACCAATTAGGAGTAACTGTTTTAAAATGAATATTAAGAAATAAGTTTTCTGATCAAGATATCTATAACCAGGATCTTTACAACTTAATAACTAATATAAAGCTGATAGTCAAGTTAAAAATGATGCAGTAACTTTATATGAATATCTACTAAAGTTACAACAAAAAAATCCTGAATAGTATTTTAAAGTTGACTTCAAAAGAATTGATAACAGGCTTTCTAAAATTTTTTGAATATCACCTAAGCAAAAACATTTATGGACTCGATTTCATGATGTAGTCATTAATAATAACACATACAAAACCAATAAATATATAATATCCTTAAGTATCTTTATTGTAATAGACTTAAATAATAAAAGCTATATTGTAGCAATAGCTATAGTTAACAATGAGACAGTATTAACATATGAGTGGATTTTAGAACAAATATTGCTAGCTACTAATAATTTTCAACTAGCAACAATTTTTACTGATGCAGGTCTAGCAATGCAAGTTGCCTTATTCAATAAATATTCTAATACTACTGTTTAGCATTGTATATTCCATATTTGGCAAAATTTGGTTAAAAGCTTAAAAGAAAGCTTAATAACAAATGAAATATGTTTATTTCTAATTTTTACATATTATGGAACTCACTTATAGTATCTAAATTTGATCACTGTTGGATAGGGCTAATGGATAATTATCCGAAAGTTTAAGCATATTGTAAGCAAGTATTATACCCAACTAAAGAATGCTGGGTACATACAAAACGAAGTTTCTTAGCAAATACTTATTCAATACAATATGTTGAGAGTATAAATCGAGTTATAAAATTGGAAGCGAATTCAGACAATTCTTTGTGTCAGCTTCAAAATAGAATTGAATTGCAGTTAAAAGATGAAGTTAAATATGCGAAATTTTAAGAATTTCGAAACATAAATCTGACAACAGGTCTTTCTCATATATCTAATATGATTTTCAGGAAATTTGATAACTTGTTAAGAAATATTTTACACCAAATTTATTAGCTCTACAATGAAAACAAATTATAAAATGTTTTTTATATAGATTAGTACTATGTGACAATCAATTTAATCAAACAAAGACTTTATTTAACATTTGGTTAGAGCACAAAAAAATATTACTAAATTATTACAAAGAAAATCAGTTTTATATTTATATTTTGCTATACCAGATATTCCAAAAGTTCTTGTACATAGTTTTTTTTTTAAATAACCATATATAGAGATTACGATGATTATTTATACAATACTTAAAAAAAAAACTATGTCTAGAAACTTTTAGAACACCCGGTATATATAGTTATTTTGTTGATAGTTTAGTATTCTAATTTTATAACTAAAAAGAGCACATATATATTATTTGATTAGGAGTTGAATCATTATTATAATGCAGAATTTATAGAAGATAATTATGAGGAACTACATATTTTACTTGATATGGCCTTGGAAGATTGTTCTGGAAACAATATAATTGAAATCTGAAAAGTTAAATATATTTAAAGCACAACTAATTATTTACAATTCATCTTATTACTTAATAATAGCACACACTATTGCATGTGTCTTTATTTGATATATGCAGAATTCATTTGTTAGCATTTTTTTTGCTGTGCTAATTCAATCAAAAAAAAGCATTTTTCAATATGAAATTAATACCTTCCTGTTGGTATTCTGATAAAGGTCTCTTAGTGTTTGATGAAAATAAAGAATCATCTATTTGGGTTATACAAAATGATGATAATCTAACTTTAACTGGTACATTTTAAGCATTAGAAAAGATTTGTGGCCAAGAAATTAATAACAAAGTTGCTGTGAAATCAGATTCAAAAAAGGTTTTTTATGAGCATGGTATAGGAATTTGCAAAAAGGCATTAAATTTAGCAATTTAGAAGCCTTTTGCAAAATTTATTAATAAACAGATTTCAACATATAATACTGCTTCTAAACAATCTTAACAAGGCTCAAGTCAAGAAATTGAAAGTATTAACATTTCAAATCCTTTTCAACATAAAGGCAGGGTACCCAGCAAACAAGAGATATTTGTTTGCTATTGAGAATCATGACACCAAACATATTCGATTAAGTAATCAAGATGAATCATCAAAGTCTGGGTCAAAAAAGAAAAATAAGCATCAATGCACTATCTGTAAATCATGGTATTATGATTCCTAAAATTGCTCCAAAAAAGAATAGTTGTAATGAAAGTTTATTAGAAAGGCTTTTATACTACTTATGCTATTATGTTGTTTACATTGCTTATGTTACTTGTTTTCTTATATTATTTTGATTATATTATGTTGCTTATATTGTAATTTATGAATTTATATTGCTTGATTGGTGTAGCAAAATTGTCTTTTAAAAATAGTTGTGAGCTAAGTACAAAAGGCTAAGTAGTTATGATTTATATTGCTTATGTTGTAATCAAATTTATATTTGATTGGCATATGAGATCACAAAGATGTAAATACAACGAAAAATTATTTTTAATAGTTACTATCTGTTTAATTTTACAACTTAAATTTTGTTAGTATATACACTAGTAAAAAATAAAAAATTTGATGTGTCAAATGGCACTATTTGAATGCCATTTAATACACTATTTAATTTATTATAGTTATCCTTCCATACAATCACACAGTTGGGCACATAGTAACTTTTTTTAAAAATGTGCTTATAGAGGGGTTGTGCTTATAT